TGATATGATATATATATATATATATATGTATATATATATATTGTAACAAAGCCACCACAGTAACATGGGAATGTATTTGTGTGACTCACCCATAAAGTCTGCTGTCCCGTAAGCTGCTCCTGCTCCAAAATAACATAGAAAGCACAATTACGATATGTAGAATTAATGATACATTAGTCGTCGTGTGTGTGTGTGTGTGTGAGAGAGAGAGAAGAAGAAAAAAATGAGAAAAAAAGAAGAAGAGTGTACGGAAAGAGTTTCAGAACTTAAAGGATTACCAGAACCATTAAATAACGATTTATTGAAATAATACATGTACAATATGCTAAACAAATAAATATAATAATATCCATTTGGCCTTGGGAAATTACGTAACAATAAGACTATGTAAAGCTTCAAGCTCAGCACGTTTTACAAATGAATAATTATCCATAATATGGAACAATTCAAAGAAATCACAACGTGAAGGTAAAACAAACGATCGTAGCTTCGTCCATTGTAGAAAAGCACTTCAAATAGTTCGATAGTTTTGCTCGTTTAATTCGAATCTGCGACAACAAAACCATTGGATAGACCAAGCTGTTATTTCGATAGGAACGAAAGGAAGATGCATGTGAGAGTGTGTCTTTTTTCCTTTGTTTTTTTCTTTTTTTTTTCTTATTAAAGTAGAGAATAGCTCCGCGAATCTACGAAAACAATGTTGTACCTTCCTTATGTTACAAGAAAGACTTTGTTTCGGTGTGTCAACAGTTAAATATTGCCGAGAAAAAAATTCCCTCTCCGGCAAATACTACTAATGGTATGAACAATTAAACTGTTACTACACAACCATGCGACAAGTACCATGAACGTTTCATGGTATCATACACATATATAATCTCAAATATACTGCAGTTGATACTTCTCTACGTAACGGAACAAAACGGGATTTTTTTTTTTTTTTTTTTTTCTTTTCAAGACCGTGTCTCATATTTTACGATCGAATCAGCGAAACAACTCTATACACACTGGTTACCAAAATGGGCGAGCTCTCGAGGGTATTCGATCCTCGAGGAGGAGGCCACTGAACGGGTAACAAACGTTGTTCACGATCTGATCGTAAAGCGCGGGAAAAATGAAATTGGAATTATTATCGTTATTCTCTACTTTGTACTCCGGATACAATTATTGGGAAACCACGAAACATTAGTTACGCGTTACGAGTCAACTGTTTAAAACCGTTTTGGATAATTCTATCCTTGCGAGAGAGATCGAACGAACTTTATCACAGCTGATTTTCGTATTACAGCCTCGATTAGGCCGCAATTGTTACATACGGCCGCGTCAGCGTGGCATTGTCTTTTTTTTTTTTTTTTTAGTGTTTCTATAGCAAACTGATAGAGTACGTCGTTACTTTTTTTTTGTTACTTTCTCTTTTTTATTCATAGCGTAACACATTTTTCTAAACGACATACCTCGTCTACATAATGCATAGAGAGTAATATTAGAGAGATTGTGCTACGATATGCTCGATATAATAATAATGATAATTATAAAGTTGACAGTTGTATTGTTTTGCTCGAAAGAAGCCGTTACAAATCTGTTAAGTGTTCGTATAATAACGTATTTTTTACTGTGCAATATTATCATATGCGTGATTCGATTTATTTGAAAGTATGATTATTTCTGCGCTCGTAATTCTGTTTTTTTTTTCTTCTTTTTTTCTTTTCCCTTTAATCTTCTTCCCCTTTCTCGTTTGTCAACGTTTTGCGAAGAAAGATATGTATCTCGTGATCGGCGTATATATACTATCTACTTGGATTAATCGTACACAATTATTCGTCTACTTTGATTTTTCGCACGTTCCTGTATAAATAAACGTCGTATCGATCGATAATGTAGAGCCGAATCTGTGTCGTGCACTTCCTAGCCTTCCGGTTTCTTTTCAAGAATTAAACTGGAGATTTTTTGCCTAAATTTTGCTCTCTTTTTTCTTCTGTTTAAGACGTAATCGAATAACATTGAAAAAGTCTCGTGTTAATAACGTTTAACATTTTTGATGCTTGATCGTAACGTACAGAAAGAGAAAGAGAGAGATAGAGACGGGCGGATGCGTGGACGGATACGATAACAGTATGTCATGCATCGAATGCACAGGATACGATTATTTTCCGAATAGGAAACCGTGAATATTTCTCATTTTTTTCTTTTTTCGCGTGATCGTTTAACAAATCAACACACAGTGTTACAGAAGCCACGGATATGAAAAGTCTCTTGTTGCTTCGATTCTCGGACTGGGGAACGCTTTCGATAATAACAAATTAGAATGTCAAGCGAAAAAATGTGAACAAGCCGTCTTTTTCTTCCTTTTCGGGTTAGAAGCAATTTCATAGAGTGACAAGATTACGTGTTAATTAAGAAAGATCGGCGAAAAATATCAGCGAAAAGAAATAAAGGCGGTTCAGAACTGAAGAGATTATCTATCTAATGATTTGCTATACGTATTAGGGATGGTATTAAGTGGCTTATTTATTGCGTACCTGTCGTTACCATGCCTGAATAAAGCTAGAATTTCTTCGAATGTTTTATTCTTGGTCTCAGGAACCTTCTTGTACGTGAAGATCCAGAAGATGGCTAGGAATGCACTGAATGGTAGGAACGTGTAGTTTTCAAGGCTAGTCTGTAACATATGGAGGACCAAGGGGTCAGCGTGTATAAATAGCAAAATGTCAATCGTCCTCCTTTAACTTGCAAGCGTCATCTTTCCTCCATTCAGGAATACATTTGAAGAAATAACCTTTCCTCTCTTGTGCGAAAAGAAGAAGAAGAAAATGATGTTAACACTTTACCGACCGGTAACCTATTAATCGGCTTTTAGCCGCCGACGCTTACCGACCGGTAGCCTATTAATCGGTCAAAGTTTGATTTAACATTTCTACAGGTATAAGAAAAAAGCGCATATATTCCCGCGCGAATAGCCTACAGTCTAAACAGAGCCGGTGTCAGCGATGTATCTGTGGCCGAGTGAGCGGTCGGAAGTGCGTAGGATGTTGAACCGCTACACGGTCGGTAAAGTGTTAAAACGTGCAATGGCACAAAATTATGAATAATCTCGTAATTGATCTTACCTTCATACTTGGAAAACCGATGCCAACCAAAAAATTAGCCATCCAATTGACAAGAACCGCGATAGACATGGCCGCTGGTCTAGGACCTTGCGAGAACAGTTCGGCCGTGATCATCCACGGTATGGAACCAGGTCCGACAGCAAAGAACACAACGAAACTGAGCGTCGACACGACCGACAGATAAGACATCCAGTCAATCATTTCCTGCACATAACCGAAAAACTCCTATCAGGCAGTAGAATAGTGTTCTTCTTTCCTGAGCAGCCGGAGGAGTCTCTCTCAGGAGAAATAAATCGGTAAACATCTCTACTTTGAACTGAACGGAAAATAGAGAAACTTAAACAGTTAAATAACGAGCATGCGTACGTTTTTTTTTTTTTTTTTTGTGCAGCTCAACCCTGTGTTTTTAAGGCGATGATGCGATTGCGACAATGCGTTAACAGTGCTTTTTGTTGTATATACGTATTATGTATGTATAGATAGATATAGATATGTACAGTCAACATCTTTCGTTTCAAAAGCGTTTCAAGCGAATATGACTGGCTGTTTCAACGTAGTAGTATAAAGGAATTATAACAGGGCACGTTTGCTTATAGACCTCCGGTGAAACATAAACGTGTGAAGAAATGCGCCAGACATACAACGTACACGCCTTTTGCATAATGATAACACATATATCGTTGCCGTGGTTAAGGTCGATGATCGACACGAAGACAATGAATTGCCTCTTGTGGCTCCTCTTTAAACGTTTTACACACGATATGTATAGAGTATATATACACACACAGCTTTACACGAATTTTTTAATACGTATCGTGGTAGCTCGTTTCTCTGTTAGAAAAGCATTAGTAGCGTATACCTATTGATAATCTACGTCCGATTTGTTAGGTAATTAGATAGCAAAGATTCGAAGATATTTAAGATACTTTTTCTTTTCAAACTTTGAATTTTTCTTTATGCGACAGAGGGTGACAGGTTTGAGCCGGAATAGTAGACTAATAATAAAGGGAGTAAATGTCTCCTCCAGGCAGTCACGAAAGAGGCCATTAGTGAAGAAGGGAGGGGATGGGGAGGGATGATGACAGGGTTTTGTAAGAAGCACAATTATTAAGCCTAAGCAAATAAATGAAACTGCATGCATTTATATGTAACTGACACATCTATACATTGTAGGTAATTTTTGCTTAATTTTCTTTGCTTTCTTGGGAATTCATTTGATTTGATAATCGAATTTGGACGAACAACGAAATTCCGTTGGAATAGTAGAAATCGTCGATTATGTGTCAACATACCTGAACATTTGTAATTTCTACAAATGCAAATGAAACATAACATGCAGGAATATTAGGACAGACCTTACAAGTTACATGAATGGTCGGGAGAAATAAAAATGAGTTCTCGAATGCATATTTATATACGTAAAGTGGTGATAATTCTCACTGTCGGTGCAGTGCCGCACTCCAGCTGTGAACAAAGTGTTAGATACACCTTTCGCCAAGGTGCATGAAGTGACAAAGCACAAAGAGATAGCTATGTACAATCCACGTTCTCTGTGGTGTAAAATTAATGTCCTAAGAGGTCTTTGATTTTCGTCAAATTTCTACACTCGAACCCGTCCCGTTAGTAAAATTCGTTCTATGTATCTACAGCTTTTAGCAGAGGAAAGGTGCGACGGTAAATACTTTCTACACGATCGTTTATCGCAATGATACTTTCAAATAAAAAAACACGCTCTATTGTCGTTACACTCTTTACACGGACTCGATATCAAAGAATAAGAAAAACAACAGTCGATAAGATAGGGAGTATCTCTAAAGACTAGCCTTTACACGTTTTGCATTGTTTAACAATTATTTCACGTTACGATGACAGTGTATTATGGTTTGGAATGAAAGAGATTGTTAAATTTCAACTTACCTTTATGAGAAAAGAAATTGTGATGAATATTGAAAAGATAAACATGCCACCGAGACCGTATAAGTGCAGTGTACGCCTTCCTGTTCTATCCATAAGCGGGATGGATACTAACGTCATACAAACCATAATGGCACCTATGCCAATGGTTGCAAACTTGGCACTCTCCTCTGTCAAACCAGAACTAGTGAACAAATTTGTCGAATAGTAAAATACCTGAAACACACATGGGAAATTTCACGTGCCGTTACATCTCCACTCTTGTTTCACAAATGAGTCGTGTTTCGAAACTTGTACCAGAGCCACAAGTAACAAGGACATGGGGCTAGGAGATAGTGATAACGGTGGGTGTATGGGAGAATTGAAAGTTCGTACAGAGACCGGTAATGTACACGGAATTTATGGCGTGCACCACTACTTACAGCGTTAATGCCTGAAAGCTGTTGGGAAAGTTGCATAACCACACCGATAACGAGAGGTGCTCTCAAAGTCGGGCTACATATGAGCTCTGTCATCGATATTCTAGACTCAGCTTGTTGAGCTCGCTCTTCGGCTCTCATTTCTTCGATATCTTCCTCCACTTGGTTACTAGCTCTCAACCTCCTCAAAGCTTTACGGGCTTCTTCCTCCCACTGTTTGGTAATGAGCAAATATCTGCGGCAACAGGATCAAGAAGAGAGAGAAATCTGTAATCTTTGTTAGCTGGAGGAATAGGTGGAACACGATATTTCTTTTTTTACGAACAAACTACGAGATACTCTACCGACTATTCTCTATAAAAGCAGCAGCGATTATTTGGGAAGATTTTTTTTTTTTTTTGGTTTCTTAACCCCTTAACATATGATTTCTTTTCTGACTGTGCATCTAAGCGTCAGCCATTTACTGTTTTACTACTGCATCAGGTAGCGAGAGCTAATTTGCTAGAGATTATTTACATTTAGTAATCTTCAGTCTTAGGAAATGAATTTTTCTTACTAATATAGCTATTTTCGTCACATCTTGACCAGAATCTCTGACACGTTGTTATTGGTTAACACTAGAACTACCGGCCGAGTCGAAACGACCCATTAGCGACTTTCCAAAGGTGAACTTTTATGTAGGTAAATCGTGATTGGAGAATTCGGTTCGTATCGACACAAATAGAAGCATACATGTAGAAAATAAGTTCGGAAAGATGCTAATGGGTCATTTCGACCCGGTCGGTGGTTCTAGTGTTAAGGGGTTAACTGTAGACGATTTGTGTAGCGTGATTGTCTCTACCTTGGAGATTCGGGGCAAACTGGAAGCAGCAATAACTGTAGAACGGCAGGGCAGATAGCTAGCCCTAAGAGAACTGGCCAACCCTCGTTTGTTCCAAGGATTTGCTCGATGCCCAGCACCTGGGAGACCAGGAGGCCCACCGTAACAGCGAGCTGGTTCACCGTGCCTAGGCCGCCTCTTAGGTTCAGTGGTGCTATCTCCGATATGTACATGGGAACCAGCGAGGTGTTTAAGCCACAATTGACACCGATGATGAACCGTCCAAAGAACAACATTTCGTACGAGTGAGCAATCTTTGTACAACCCATCAGGCACGCCCCCACGATGCCCAGCACGTTGTTTAGCAGTAAGCCCCCCTTTCTGTGTGTTGGATGAAAAAGAGAGAAAAAAAGACGGACGTCAGCGTTTAAGATGATCCGATCGATCATACACCTGATTACCTTGGATATCAATGATACAACGTTTCACAAGATGCGGATAAATTAGTATTATATGTAATATAATCGTTACGTTAATGGATAGATAGAATTTCTGGCGGCGCGTAGAAGCCCTAGCAAAGTTACATTTCAGATGTTATAATGTTGCTATAGTACAAACCTGCCAAATCTGTTGGCAATTATCCCTCCGCTAAAACCACCTAGCATACCACCAATAGCAAATATGCTTACGGCCACGGAATATAATTTCTTCACGGAATCGTCTGAAATGTCCTCCCCGTACCTATCCTTGTACACGTCTTTCATAAAATTTTCAATATTCTGAAACGGATAAATCACATTTGATACAGGTATTATTCCCGGTACGTCAGAGCTATTCATTTTGTATGCGTTTGGTGAATGATTTATCGTACAGTTGTGAAGTTTGCTTTTCAAAATAGGTTCGAGAATATTAAAATTTCGTATATGAATGAGAATCATCCTGTTTAAAAGGAACATACCACTTCCGGCGCATTGATAACTCCAGTGTTGTATCCAAACTGCAGCATTCCTAAAACTGCTGCCAGTATTGCATACGACAGGAAAAGTGTTAGCCCCTGAAACCATGAAATGTATTGTTGAAACGTTAATCAAGACATTGCGTTGCGTCGAAGAAAACTGTCGAAAGAATATTGCACGAAATAAAATAGTCAACATGTATACACGTTCTCTCTACTGAAGATTGAAAATCATAGAAGAGGAGGAGTGAGGTAGAAAATCATAAATGACACGAAGGGTGAAAGAAAATTACGCCAAAGAATGTTATAAAATGGTTTATTAAACGATCACTCGTCGATCAAGCTATGTATATATAAAATCATACGCTACAACGAATGGTCATCGTGCACAGGTACAATGAGATGCATAAAGAAAATCGTCAAATCAAACGGAATAATCGTAACACAACACTTATACATCGCGCGGGAAATCAAATGTACAATTATAACGATGATGATGATGATGATAATCGATACAGCGAATTAAACGAATTAAAGAGACATTAAAAGCGGTTCTATACCGTTTGGTAAACGGTACAGAAAAGTAAAGCACGCCAAAAATTAAGATGAATCATTTCTGATCAAGCGTCACCTGCTCCAAAAGCCTAAGTTTCCGTCGATGAGAATGTTCCGCTAGTCGATCCACGTATTCTCGTAATTCTTCTATCTCCTCTTTCACGTGCTGTACTGTATCTAGTTCGTGCTGCGTAACACACATTAGGAAATGACAGTTTAAAAAGTGGCCACAGTTTGGGACACTCTTAGAACGCGTAGAATTCTTTCTCCGATCAGAGAATTAGAAATCAATTTTCTAACTCGTTCCAAGAATAAGCAATCGATTATTTTGGTTTGCACACTATTTCTCTAATACATTTGTTTCGTTCGAATTTTCATTTTTCGACGTGTCGCAGGGCCTCGAGTTGGAAAAATTTCTGAGCGAGGAAGCGAGAAGGTATAGTCGGTGGAAGCAGCAAAGTGTTAACGAGCTCGTAAAATCGGTCAGGCATCGAGGTACGCGTAATTCGAGCGTGAAAGTAGAAACTTCAGGGAGATAAGGAAATTCAATGAAATTGAGAATTGCTCCTTCTACTGTAGCGGCAAATTTTAGTAGAACGGGCGCGTGGCAGATTCAGATGTTCCACAACGGCCGCAAAATTTTCTAAAATTTGGTTTATTCAATTAACGTGGAAGAGTGCAGAGGATAAAGTTAAGGCTGAAATTAACATGGAAGTGCGCCACCAAGAGGCTCGAATGCGAACAAATTTTCAATATAGGCGCCAATAGCAGCGGAAGGGTTAATACCGTATATCTTATCACATTGCTGGCGCTATACTGTGAAATGGATCGAAGCTCGAAAATGATAAATTGGCGTATCTCGCCAGCAACGTGTTAAACGAAAGATTGGAAGAAGAAATTTGAAATATCAATTCGCAAGTAAGTCGTGGGCGCGGGTAGGATCAATCGGTGTGTCCGCCCCTCGATGCTTGAATTTACGACCCCGTTACGTCGCTTCCACAAACTATACGGATAGTGTTGGAGGTAGTTAGGGACAGTACCTTGATCGCGACCATGTCCCGTTTCACCTCGCTGACCTCGCTCTGGCAAGACTCTACGCTCTTGGTGAGTTCCTGCAGCTGCGTGCGGATCTCGCAGAGGGCGACGGTGGTCTCCAGCTGGCGGTCACCCCGCTGCAGCTCGTCCAGCTTGGCACTCAAGTTCATACTCATAACGCTGACCTGTTTCTGCAGACTGCCCACACACACATACCCTCACGTGAATCTCGCTGGCTCGCCCGGGAAAACAAATCGACATTGTCGAGCACATTGACACACTAGACGATCAAGGCTAACTATGCCTATGTCCCCTAAACAAGAAGTCCAACTACCTCCGCGCGAAAAGTAAACTGCCGAGCCTTCAGTTAGCGTACGCTTACAACTTAACCGGGAAATGGGTGTTTCTCTCTTTCACTCTTATTTCATTCTATTTAACTTGATTTCTTTTTTTTTTTTTTTTTTTTTTTTTTTTTTATCTACTTTTACTGCAATCGGATAGATACGCGCGTGCTTGTACTGATTGTTTGATACTTTTGCATGAACTGATTACGATAGACGGGAGAGAACAAAGATATCTCTACGTGAGCACATACACCGCTATGAACGTATGTATGTATACTTCTCTCGTGCTTAAAATCTCAGCGAGCCAGCGGTAGCTCGGCAGCTAAGGAAACGCTGGGCATTACGAGTAGCGTGTTAAACAGAGATATACAGACACATATATATGTATATGTACTATATATATATCATATTCTCTCTATGTATATACGAATA